CGCTCGGGTCACCGCGGGAAGCCCTTGAACCCCCTGGCGCCCGGCGCCCACGTGCGGTAACCGCGGCTCCTCGAGAGCTCCCGGGATGCGGATCTGCAGTCAGGGCTGTGGCCGAATGAATGAATGCACATTTTTTAGTGGGAAGAAAGATGTTAGGATTCATTAATTAGAATAAGCACAAAGGAGGGCGAGAGGGGAGGCCGTGGAAGCCGCATTCCTCGCCTTGCCCCGGGCGCACACCCCCGAAGGGTCGCGTCCCCTCCCTGCTCCACTGCACGTGGGTGTTTAACCAGGGCGTGTCCAGTGCCTCAAGCACCACGACCCGGGAGAAAACTGAGCTGAGAAGGCAGCTTTTAGAATTCTGCTCCCTATTTGACCTTTTCCTCTGTAAGCAAATCAAGTTATTTTAAAAGTCTCCATGGGTTGGCGGGGCGCAGTGGCTCACGCCTGTAATCTCAGCACTTTGGGAGGTCAAGGCGGGTGGATCACCAGGTCAGGAAATCGAGACCATCCTGACCAATATGATGAAACCCCAGCTCTACTGAAAATACAGAAGTTAGCCGGGCGTGGTCGCCTGCGCTTGTAGCTACTCAGGAGGCTGAAGCAGGAGAATCGCTTGAACTCGAGAGGTGGAGGTTGCATCTGGGCGACAGAGTGAGATTCCGTCTCAAAAAAAAAAAAGTCTCCTTTGGCAAACATTGTTTATCCAATTATTTTTAAACCACTTTTCTTTAATTTTCCTAAGGTCTTCTAACAAGCCTTTTGCACACCTGCCATGTGTTTTGTCAGGCCCTGGGGGTGAAGGTGAGAAAGTCGAGAATCCCTGGAGATAACACATCAGCAAATAGTGCGCAGGCGGAACAAGCTGTTGGAGGAGAGAGAGACACAGAGCAGAGAAGCAACTGCACCTGGAGGGTCGGGAGGGCCTCACATCAGAACGCCTAAGCAAATACAGTTTTCAAGGATAATAATTTTTTTAAAATTTCATTCACATGAATTAGACAGAAAGAAGCAGGACATTCTAGGAAGAAGGAACCGCCCAGGCAAAAGCGACGCATAGATTGGCATGGTCAGTTTTTGTGTTCCTCTGTGAAATCAAAGAACATCTTTTTTTTTTTTTTTTGACGGAGTCTCGCTGTGTCGCCCAGGCTGGAGTGCAGTGGCACGATGCACGATCGGGGCTTACTGCAACCTCCACCTCCCGGGTTCAAGCAATTCTCCTGCCTCAGCCTCCCAAGTAGCTGGGATTACAGGTGCCTGCCACCACGCCTGGCTAACTTTTATATATTTTTAGTAGAGACGGAGTTACACCATGTTGGCCAGGCTGGTTTTGAACTCCTGACCTCAAGTGATCCACCTGCCTTGGCCTCCTAAAGTGCTAGGATTACAGGCATTAGCCACTGCGCCCGGCCAAAGAACATCAATTTTAAACAGTTCAACTTTCCTGATTTTAATTTAAATTGGCCATAGCTTTCATTCCTCATTCCTACCTATTGCACTTCAAGACAGATTCTTATTTTAAAATAAAAAGACACACACAGCTGTCCCTAAAGTCCATTGATGACTGATCATCCTACCCTTGTGTAGGTATCTGAGGAAGCCCAGAGATGCCCAGGAAGGCTCTCAGGATGACCCGACAGCTGCCCCCACCTCACCCGCATATCTGGGGGTTGACCTACCGAGGGCTTGCTTTTCTATGCATACCAGTTGGTCCTGTATCACAAGGACTCATCTTCCCTGAGAAGTCCTAGGTTGGAATTACCTGAGGATGTTTGCAGGATCATCCACATGACTTTCCATAGTGCCAAAACCCTCTCTCTTCTTTCCCCTTCCCTTCCTTCCCTCCTTC